GCGTGCTGCAGTTTAGTCAAGCCATTTCCCGAGGGGAGAACTGGCAGTGCCCTTGGTGAGTTGGTAGGACCATTACGTGTAGGAGAGCGTGCGCTTGGGGACTGTCAGAAACAACCTTCCCTTCTTCCCTGGTGAATGAAACTTAGGTCACACTGAATGTGTTCATTAATTCACTCTGCGAGCGTCTGATCTGACCTCTGCTGAAAACAGAGGGCCATGGCCTGCAGGAGCTCACGGTTGGGGCGGGTGGCCTGTATGCGAGTGGGCTGCGGTTTTTTGTTTTATTTTGTTTTGGCTTTTGTGCTAGAGACTAAACCCAGGGCCTTCACACTGAGCTACATCTACATCTAAGGCCCTTTTAAATTTTATTTTACTTTTATATGACTCAGGAATTCTTTATTTAAAAATAAGATAGAATGCTAACTCAATTTAACTTAAGAAAAATGGAAGGATCATAGTAAGGACAAAGGATTGTCTCGGTTAGCCCTTAAGTTTTATTTTAAGACTGGGTTTCACAGACTTGTTCAGTTGCCTATATGAGCTCAGATTTGCGCTTTTCTGCCTTGTACTCTGCTAGAGCTCTGGATTACAGGTGTGTGCCAGTGTGCCAATTGCCAAGTTAAAAGTCAGCATTGCAGTAGCCAGCGAGAGCTCTGAGGTTCAGGCAGGTAAGAAAGTATCCTTGAGGCCTGGGCTCTTGACAGAGACACACAGGAAGAGTAATAGTCTCGGCCAAGTGGAGGTCAAGGTAGTTCTGAAACCAAGGAACTCTGTCCCCAGCTGTGGAGGTGCAGTGGGCCGCCATGCGCTCACAGATCCTGTGGGCCTGCAGCGTGCCTGCAGCGTGCCTGCAGCATGGTGCGTTCTTAGGGCCCCAGAGTAGACATGCCGTGTTCTGGGGGCTCCTTCAACCTGCGGCGAGAGCTGCTAGGGCAGAGAGAAGCAGCAGGCCTATGACCTGCTTCTATATTTGAGGGCTGTGGGTAGCTGCTGAGGAGGGAGCAGCCTGGTTTTTATTTTTAAAAAACTAAAGCAAGCTGGGTGTGGTGGTGCACACCTATAATCTCTGCACTGGGGAGGCTGAGGCAGAAAGCGCGCTGCAAGTTTCAGGCCAGACTGAACTGCATTGGGAGACCTTGTGTCCAAAAACAAACCAACCAGCAAAACTAAAGAACAGAAAGCCTCCTAGCTATTTGCATTGGAGACCGGCTGGCCTGGGAATGTGATGGTAGACAAGGACTGATCAAGGGTCGGTGCCGACTGGTCTGGGCAGGAGATAGCCTCACCATCACTGCAGTGCCACTGTGTCCCCGGGTAAGGTGGGGCCCACGAGGGACATGGCATTCTAGAGGCAAGAAAGACTGTAGCATCCATTGAGTTTCAGTCAGGAGGCTATGGCGGGTGCTGGCAGTGCCGTCTTGGTGGAGCAGTGTGGATGAAGCCAGATGAAGGAACTGAAGGAGTAAACGAAGCAGCTGTCAGGGAGCTGAAGGCAGTAGAGAAGCATAGATGCAGAAAGGTATGAAGTCTGGGGGCTTGAGTGCAGAGGATCCAAGGTACGAGGTTCAGGAGCTGAGAGCCAGTAGTTACAGAGAGGTCTCTGAGGATGGGACTCCCAGGGATAGGCAACGGGTGGCTGCAGCCTTTGCTGGGTTCAAGGTAGGCTGAGTGAGAATGTCGACTAAGGGAGTCTTCCTTTCACGCTGGCTTTGCTTTGCAACAATTAATCATCCAACATGCCGAAGTATCTTTGTTCTCAGTTATTGCTATCAGCTTTTCAAATAGTGTTGTCAGGGTTTGCAAGGGATAGATTTAATATAAGACACACAATTTATATGATTATTTTATAGTTTTAACTAAAACGTCAAATGCTCAAGAGTGTAAGAGATCTGTCCACACCCTAGAGACCCAAAGAGTCCAGCTGAGGGCTTGGATCCCATGCATCGTCCTGAATGAGTTCCACCGAAGCCTAGAGGCCACGATAATGTCCCATGCAAGTCTGTATTGAGGATCGACACCAGGAAGGTTCAAAAGGTCAGCAGTGGAAGCTAGAAAGCCTGCACAGTGGGATGAAGGATCTGTGCTAGCAGGCCGAGAGGGATCTACTCTGGAGCTGGGAAGCAGTGCTCCAGGTGAGAACCAGAGTTCCCTCAAAGTAAACTGTAGCCACGCTTAGCAACATCAAGGATCTGAGCTCTTGCAATGTTCAGAACAGCTGCATTCATATGGGGAAAACCGAGTAACAACCTTCTCAGGAGAATCAGTAGCCAATCATCCTGCCCTCCATTTCTCTTTTTATATTGTTGGCAACACCTAGAGCCACCTGTGGCATCTCTCTGGCCTCCGCCTGTGAATGTCTGTGTCCCTCTTGGGCTCCGCATTACCTGTATCTCTAGTTCAGCTGAGTGTTACAGGTTGAGCATTAGTTAATCTGCCACAAGTACTAATAATGGTGTAAGATACTAAGCTCCAGATCAGAAAGGACTCGTGTCCCAGCATATTTCTCAGTATTTTTGCAACATTGTGAGGCATCCTAGGACCTGTTGAATCAGCTCCAGTTGTTGGTCTGGTTGGATTGAATTATCCCCTGTACCCTAAAGTAGGGAGAAACTGTTGATGACTGTGTGTTATGGTTGAGATCTAGTGTTTCCACGAATCTCCTGAGTTTGGAAGTGGGGCTTTCGGAAGGAGGCTGGATAGTGGGTGTGCTGTATGCACCAGTGGATTCATTCATTGTTGAGTCCATAGCTGAATGTGCTGTCAGGAGGCAGAGGCTCCTCAGAACAGGTAGGTCACTGGCGGCTTGCCCCCAGCACATGGATTGCTGTCCACAGCTCCTTCCCCTAGCCCGATCTTTCCAGGCCACCCTGGAGTGTACAGCCTTCTTCTGCTGTGCCTTTCTGTTGTCACCTGGTTGGGTCAGTGAGGTACCCTAGACTGAGATAAGGAACCTATCTCACCCTTTTAACCACTTACCAGTTCAGTGATTTAAATACAGGATGACCAAAAATTGCATATTTTTTCTACTAATTTTTACAACAAAAAATATAAAAATGATAATCAAATGTATTCAGTTTTTTTCTGTGTGTGGTTTTTTGGTTTTTTGTTTTTTTTTGTTTTTTGTTTTGTTTTTTTTTTTGTGGAACCAGGGATTGAACTCAGGCCCTTGTGCTTGCCAGAGAAGCGCTTTTTCCACTGAGCCATCTCCCCAGCCCCCATGTGTGGAATATCTTAAGACATTCAGTACCCAGTGCAGTGTTATAATCTAGCAGTAGTATGTAGTCTGTTTTGAAACTTATTTTTGCTTTATTGTCTTTCTTTGGACAATACACTTAACACTGTCATGTTGGCCTTTCCTTTTTTCTGTGGATGGTATAATTTCAGTAAAATCTCTACCACCAAACATAATGGTAGGAACGACAATGGTGGACATCCTGGTTGGCGTTTTGCTGTCCTGCATTTTTTCATTACTTTGTCTATTAGACCTAATTGAAGTCGTAAATGGTTTTTTGAAACCCTTTGTTTTGAATAATAGACAAGTTCCATATAGTTTGATCCAGAAGGTATATGAATACTTTATAAGGTTTTTTTTTGTTTGTTTGTTTTTTTTGCTCCGAATGCCCTCAGGGGTGGTTTGGCTGGCTGGAGTGTTGTGGGGATCGAACTACAGCAACCTGAGGCTGACAGCTTTGTTGAAGCAGCCACTTAAACAACTTAGCTAAGGCCAGGCCCCTAAATACTTTATAATAACAGTATATTTTCTCACTTTGATTATATGGTATTTGTTAGATCATGGTCAGTTTTGTCCGTAACACCCATAGAATTGCTATAATCATTGACCATAATTGAAACTTTTATTTCATTTCTTTCAAGTCCTGTCGTTTCCGTACTATGACTAGTTGTTGATAAGGAGACAACTTTTCATCTCTCTGTTCCTAACGCAGACGCCCCCTGTGGTGCACTGATGCTCCTCCCTCTGTCAGCATCTGCTTTGCAGATCGTTAGGCGCTTCCTTCTTACTCAGTCACAGTGCCACCACCATGTCTGTTTTATATTGTGAAAGCATATCGCTGAGTCCTGGGGAAGTAGAAGAATATCTCATGTACTTATAGTAAGAGTTTTGATAGATTTTAGCAAAAAATTATAGGTTACTTTTCACAAGTAAAACAAGCACAGATTAGTCAAAGAAAACAACCAGAACTTACTTTTAGATTTCACTAGAAACAAACATCAAAGGGGAATACAGTGTTCTAAATAAAAAAGTATGAAAAATATGATTGATGTAAAACAGACATATTTCGTGCAAACAAGAATTGACTGATTGAAATGACAGATGTTAAGGGGTTAAAATAAGTTCACAGGTTTGCTGATCAAGTTCTCATCATGGAAAGGAAATGTGCAAGGTGTGCAGTAAAAAGAGACACGAGGAGGGTTGTATTTTAGGGTGCGTGCAGAGAGCGGAGCGCACTTGAGGGCTGTCTTGAGGAAGGCCGCCCAGAGCCTGGCAGGCGCGGGCAGCGCTGCCCCCTGTGTGTGACGGTGAGCTGTGCTCCCCGCCAGCGTGGCTGCTGCTGGAGGCCGGAGGAAGCGTGGCCCACAGGCGAAGAGGACGGGGGTCCAGGCCCCGATTTACAGTCCCCTCTAAGGAGGCCTTTAGGAATTATCTTTTTTGAATGAGCTTCCTGAGCAGGGAAGGGCTTGTCTTAGAAGCTGCAGCTTTTCTTAAAAAGACAATTTTACAATTTGTTTGCTTGTCTCTTTTCTTCATACTTTCCACTTCTTTCTGTCCTACCTCACCGTTTGTGTCATATCTGCCTTTAGAGCCAACTCACCTAGACTGAGTCATTTTAAACCGTGAGCCAGGATAAGCCTCTTTCCGTTGCTTGTTTGTGGCAGGTCCTTTATCCCGGTGACCATAGCCCTCCCAGCCTCTCTTTGAGAGGCTGACCAGCACTTGTGGACCAAGAGCTTGTACCCGCTGACCTGCTGTTTTTCCTCAGATGGTACCAGTGCCGCCTACCCGGTGGTCAAGGAGTGGTTCGTGTACCCTGGAAACTCGCTGAGGCGCCCGGACCTCGTCAGGCCTCTGCAGATGACCATCCCAGGTAGAGCAGCCTCCATCTGTTGATTGTAGGGTGCTCCTCAGGAGTGAGGCAAGTCAGGTAGTTCGGGGGGGGGGGTCCACCCTCAGAATATGCAAGGAAAATAATCTGAAGGTAACTTATTATTATTAAAACACTTATTTCTGTATAAAGAGTACATAGTACTATGACTTACCAGGTGACATGTCTTCATTTATTCACTTTTGTTTATAGCTGTAAAAACAAATGGGGCGGGCTGGAGAGATGGCTCAGTGGCCTAAAGCACCTACTTGAAACAAGCTTGGCAAAGCACAGGGACCGCAGTTCGATCCCCAGCACCACATGCCAGCCAGCCCGCCCCCTGGTGGGCTGAGCTGGCCACACACACACACAATAAATAAATGTAATAAATAAAAATAAATAAATAATTTAAAAAAAAAACAAATGGGGCATTGTTTTGATACTAAGGAGGCCTGTCCCCAGAGTCCCATCCCCCACCCTGCCCCTACCAAATGGTGTCCTCCAGTTGGGTCTGTCAAGGCAGTGGTTGGCCTCAGGGGCTCCATTCCTATTTAAAAGCCCTGTGGGCACTAGGCATGGTGCACACACCTGCAGTGCCAGCACTTAGAAGGACTGCTGTGAGTTTAAGACCTGGCTCAAAAAAAGCCCCATGGGCTACGCTCACCAGAACTGTAACCAGGTTATGTAGTCATGGTTGTGAAGCTGATGTTTAGTGGGCCTTAGGGCGCAGAGTGCCCAGTCGGGTCTCTAGAGGCTTGATAGAGGTGCGCCAGTGGGACAGGGGCCTCTGGGCTTTGCTGAGAGGCTCTCATGTCCCACAGCCGGGCTGAGGCTGAGCATGCATCCGAGTGAGAGCTGGGAGACCACGTGCTTGCTTGGGCCTGCGTGCACCAGTGAGAGAGAGGCTATGCATCGTCGTGTATGTGACAGGGAGCGTGTGTGTGGGTGAGAGGATGAATGTGCATGCGTGTTTGCAGGAGGGGGCTTGCCTGTGCACTTGTGTGAATGTGTGTGCCCCTCGGAGTGCACTGAGTGTGTCTGCGCATCTGGGTGCACGTGTATGAGTATTTATCTGAATGCGAGTGTCATGTGTGCATGAGATGGAAGTTTGTGTCAAAGTGTGGATGAGTAAAAGTATGTGTGAGAGAATGAATGAGCAGGCGTGTGTGAGTGATTATGACCATGCACGCATATGTGAACGTGTGTAGATGCACGCCTGTGTGCACGCACTTGTGAATGTGTGTGTGTCTGTGTCCGAGAATGTGCACGTGTGTGAATATGGTTTGCATTTATATAGCTCTTCCACGTCAGTCACTTTGAGTCTGGGGTTCAGTTATAGTTAAAATGTTTCTTTTGTCTGGAGCTGCTGACTGTATCATGTCCTGCAGTAGACTCAGCCCACGTTGGTCTGCATGCTGCTGCTCTCCATTTTTCTTAGAGCGAGCTTTAAATGGTGCTTCCACAAAGCACACCATCTCGGCAGAGATAACTGGAAGTCTGTCAGCTGAGGAGTAAGTGTCGGTTGCCTGAGGAATGGGCGTCTTGCTCCATTTAGGAGACTGCCACTCAGCCTTTCTGTAGAGTGAGCCCAGGACCTCTCAGGTCCTGGGGACGCACCACTTTCATGTTAGGAGGCAGGAGCCTGGGGTGTGGCGTGCTACAGAGAAGCTTCCGGGGGAGCTGTGGAGAGGCTTCATTTCTTCTGTTCATACATACCAGTATTTAACAGACTGCATTTAAGATCAAAATTTGCAATTATGAAAAGATTTATAAGGGTGCAGTTTCTCAGTCTGGTGGTTTTCTGAATCTGTTTAGCATTAGACCTCCTCAGGCCTATTTCTTATTGTTTGTAAGTTCCTCTTGTCTGTCCTTGTGCTTTTGAGCCGCTCTCCTTAAGGATGTTAAGTGGTGGGCGGCGGGAGGAACAGCAGCTGTGGAGCTGCGTAGCTCCGCGAGGCTCCCGTGCGCCTCGACCCACAGCCTCCACACTCACCCCGCGTGCCACCAAGATGCCCAAGAGGAAGGTCAGCTCGGCCGAAGGGGTGGCGAAGGAGGAGCCCAAGAGGAGATTGGCGAGATTGTAGGCTAAACCTGTTCCAGCTAAAGTGGAAACGAAGCCAAAAAAGGCAACAGGAAAGAATGAATCTTCGGGCAAAACAGTGCAAGCAAAAGGGAAGAGGGGAGCCAAGGGAAAACAGGCTGAAGGGGCTGATCAAGAAACCAAGGAAGATTTACCTGCGGAAAATGGAGAAACTAAAAATGAGGAGAGCGCAGCTTCTGATGAAGCAGAAGAGAAAGGCGGCCAGTCTGACTAATCACACACCATGTCTTACCAGTGCTCCCTGTCTCCCTTCTTGTTCAATCCAGAGGAATATTTTTATCAACTATTTTGTAAATGCAAGTTTTTTAGTAGCTCTAGAAACATTTTAAAAAGGAGAGAATCCCACCTCATCGCATTTTTTAAGTGTAAATGATTTTTTTAGGGTGAAATTATTCTCTGGTTGTGTATTTTTTTGGTACAACCAGAAATAGTGGATATTGAATTATGGCAGGCTGTGACTGTCTTGGGTGTCAGCTTAGCATTCCATAGGTGGGGGTTAGTTTTATATCCTGCAATACAAAGCATACTAAATGGCAATTTGGAATTACAGTCCTGCATTTAATAAGTCTTGGGTACTTTAAATGACTTCTATTCCCATGTATTTAGTGAAGCTGTTTCCTAAAGAAAACTACATCCTAGTCGCTGCCCTGTCAGAACTGTGTGTACTCTGTAACATCTTTGGTAGTGGTAGTCCATTTTGCCTCATTTTGTTAATGTGCTGTGAAAGATCAAAAATTTGAATATGTAGTGTATGTGATACAAAATTGTGAATTGGTGGGACTTAAGCAACACTTTGTCAGCACTTGAAGATACTGGTACTTAATCCTCTTACAGAAAATTTGCCTCTAAATTTGAAGCTGGAAAGTCACTGGAACAACTGAAAAACAGTACATGGCTTTTTTTGGTATGTGTGTTAAGAATTGTGTACAAAGTGAATTGTGTACTGATCCTTCAAATATTGAAGACCAAAAAAAAGGATGTTGAGTGGCATACAGATCTTGTATACATCAGGATCTCCTGGCCTGCATTAAAACACAGTTACACCCCACATTCCCACAGTTTCTAATCAAGGTTTTGTATTAAGTTTCCAAGTGATGTGGTGGCAGTTGGTCCAATAAAAGAGAAGGGGAAAGAAAATTAGACCTGTGAAATTCCATCGGTGGTTTAGCAGCTTTCTGCTCATTTGTTTATAGCTGTGTCATTAACGTGTCATAGCCTCTGCAGGCTGAGAGCCAAAAGAAAGTCGGTGCCCTCCCGTTGTGGCTAAAACCTGAGTGCCGAGGCCTGCGGCGCTGGGTTCCTTGCCAGCCTGCAAGTGGCCTGCTGCAGAGCTGTGCTTTGAAGTGGTGCCGTTTTCCACTGCACTGTCTCTACCTTCTTTTGGTCCAAATGCCGTAAGTTCATCTGGGCCTCGGCAGCCTCTCTTCATCTGCTTGACATAAGACTGCTCCTCCTCACCCGCCCTCTGCCCATTTCCTCTTTGGTGCTCCTCCAGTCAGTGCCCACTCCATGCAGAGCCCCCTTTCAGAGCACAGGCCTGACTGTGACGTTCCTTTGGGCTCACCCTCAGCCTTTCCTGTTGCTCTTCGGATAATGCCCTTCACAGGTAAGTCTGCCTTCCCTGGGTACCCCCCCCCCCGCCCCACCTTGGCCAGCTGCTCTCTTCCCTCCACCTCAGCTGACCTCTTGTCGTCATGGTTCACCCTCACACTTCACCACCACAGTATAATCGTCCGGCTCACCCCTTGCATTCCCCTAAACCGTGAGCTCTCTGAGGGCAGCGCTGGCCCTCCCTCATGGGTCTGGCATCAGTAGTTCCCCAGAAGCAGAGGGTGTATGGGATGAATGGTGGGTGGGTGGGGGAGGAAGGCAGGAGGCTTGTGTCGCGTGTGAACTATTTACTGTCTGCTTTCAGCCAGCAGGCCCAGCCCTGGGTGTGCCTGTTCCTCCATGAAACCCTCACAGGGCCTCTGCCCCAATTTGTTCATTATTCCCTTTAATCTTCATTATTCTTCTAGTAAAGCCTTTGTGTTCTTATTGTTATTTGTGTATGCCTTTCTTCTGCAAAACCTCCCAGGGTAGCAGCTGTTTATCCTCCACAGGGGCCACTCAGGGTGGGCAGGGTGCCTGGGGTGGTAGAGTGAGGGGCATCATCAGATCTTAGCCTTCTCGGAAACTTCTGTGACAGGAGGTAAAAAGAAAGCTGGTGAACAATTGCCTGATTTTGTTTTTTTCTGCCCTGTTTTTTATTATTAGACATGCTTAAAAATCTTTACCTTAAAATCTGGGGCAACGTGGGGCCCTGAGTACGCCCCGTCACTGACTGCATTGCCGATTGCTCCTGCTGCACAGTGTGCCTGACTCTGAACATACTCTGAGGTCTCCTTTTTTTTTTTTTTTTTTTTTGCAGAACCGGGGATTGAACTCAGGCCCTTGCACTTGCCAGGGAAGCGCTTATTCTACTGAGCCATCTCCCCGGCCCTCTGGTCTCCATTTTTATCGCACCTTTTTGTGTGAGCAGATGAACCTCAAGGCGACCTTTCCTCACCAGCCCTGCGCTTTGAGGAGATTTGCCCTCTTAACCGTGCTCTCAGGTGCCCCATGCATACCGGGAAGGGGTAGAAGCTCTGATCCATGCTGTGGTGATATCCGGCTGGGCGGCTGTGGATTGTTTTTTTCTTTTATGCTTTTATGTTTTTACACAATGTCTAACTTTTGCAATCTGAAAAGGGTTTTCTCAATACTTTGTATGTTTGAAATAACTATGATAGTGGAAGTCATTACTTCCCTTAGATCAGAGATTAGCAAACCTTTTCTTTAAAAATGTCAGTAAATACATACACTAGGTTTTGCAGGTCTTGTAGTTTCCTTTACCGTGTCTTCAAAATGTGGAAGGAACCATAAACACAGACAAAAGGAGTACAGCAGCATTTATGGAAACTTTGTCAGCCTCAAGATTGGGATTTCATACAGTTTTCTTGTTTTAGGAAATACTGATTTTCTCCCCCAACCCAACCAATGATTTAAAACTGTGAGAATGATTAAAATAGACAGTAAATTGGCTTGGGTTTGCAGGCAACAGACCACTTAGGTCTGTGGTGTCCCTGATCGTGTTTCTGACGAGTGCTCTCGAGCACCTGTGATTATCCTGCCATAGTATCTGCTTTTTAAATATTAGTGCCGCAGGTCTTTTTCCCCCTCCCACAGAGGCCTTAATTGTGTTTAGCATTTTAGTTTATTTATTTTTAGCATTTTATATTTATCTTGAGAAAAATTTTTTATGTCCAAAATAAATAGTAACAAAGCTCTTGTGGAGTGAACACTTCAGCCTTTTAGAAGTACAGGTAACCTGTGGAGTTGTCTGACTTGGAAGGTAGGAAGTACACCATTGAACATAGTGAGTGACTTACGAGAAACAAAAGGAAAAAATGAAAGAACTTCTTTCCAAGTGCTTAGATTCTGACGCCATTTGGTTAGCAGCACTTGTGTTTTGGGGAAACGTGGCACTGTCCCTTGCTTTGGTGTGTGTTATGTTGCTAGTGACCTTGACCAGCAGCTGCAGCTGTTGGGGTCACAGAAGGTGTTTCCATCCTAGGTCTCCTTCAGTCACCTTCCTGCTGCTCAGACAGGCCACCCTCCACTGAGTCCTGTCCTGAGTCACCCGAGATTTCTCTTGATTTAAGCAAACTTTAAGGGGTTCCCTTTTGATTTTGTTAACTTACGTATATATAAAATACTAAGAATTACAGTTCAGGAATTGCATTTTGTCAAGCACTTTAGTTAAAGAGAAGTGGTTTTAGGGTTGTTAATATGTAGACTCTTCAGTACACAGCATAAGACAGAAGATTCACATAGATCCCAGGAAGTGGATCTTGATCTCTAACCCACTTCTCTTAGTTCATTGAAAACAAAGGTTTGTGCTAATACTGTTTGGACAACTTGTCCTACCTGTGCCCTGTAGTGTTACGTAACTACTTTGAAGATAATAATACACAATATATTAACTAACTATTGTTATTCCCCTATTGTATTGTTTTGAAATTCTGTTTAATTTTTTTCTCTTTAAAATAAAATTTAAAAAAACTTGCAGAAAGTCATGTATTTCATGAATGACATTTATATTTAAATCAGTTTTTCAATAGCTTTTGTAAATAAAAGTTTGAAAAACACTGATTTGGTAGAAGGGGGTGAGTGGACTGCATTTCTAGCTTAAAAAAGCTTAGTGAGAGGTCTCACGAAGTTGGTAAGTTGTCCTGGCTGATCTTCAACTTGGGATCTTCCTGTCTCCGTCCCTAGAGTGCTGTGGTCACAGTCATGTCCCCATGCCAGGCTTATCACTGACACCTGGACTGGCATGTTGACTTCTCTTCTGAGACAGATTCCAACGTAGAGAGCAAAACATGGACAGAAGCAAAGCCTCTGATTTCCCTCAAAATGTAGCCATTAGAAAGATGAGCTGGGTATGGTAGTGTACACCTGCACTCGGGAGGCTGCGGATGGGAGAAATCATCCATTCTAGATCAGCTTGGACCACACAGTGAGACCCCATCTCCACACAACAGAGAGCTGGGCTGTGGGTACAGCTCAGTGGGAGGGAACTTGGCTACCAGTGTGAGGCCCTGGGTTCTGTCCTCAGCGCTACAAAGAAGGAAAACAGTGTTAGTGGGATGTGCGTGCTGGCCCTTTAGGGTTTGTTTGTTTTTCTTTTAAGCTGGGAAGTTTCGTTCATGTTTGCATTCTAGTTTACGATTTGAGCCCTAATGTATTGGGAAGGGAAGAGAGTAGTTTCTGAAGATGTTTCCTAGAACTGTATTAAAACTGTGTTGCAAAGAAAAACAATACATGAATCTCTCTTTCCTTTCTAACTAGGAGGAGTGCCTAGTTTGAAAATCCTGTGGCTGAATGAGGAGCCGGCTGTGCAGGCACAGCGCCTGGACATTCTCCTGTCCTGTTTCAATCTCTCCTCCTCACGGGAAGAGCTACAGGCCGTTGACAGCCCACTGAGAGCTCTGTGCTGCCTCTTGATCTACCTCTTCATCCAGGTGACACTGAGCTCTGCTCTTGTGGCCGCAGATGTTCTTTACTTCCAGCTTCTTCTTTTCTGGGATGCCAGGGGTGGAGAGGCAGACTGGTCTCCGGGTCATCTTTGGCCAGTATCTGTTTCATTTGAGCAGTGTTAGTCACTCAGGATATTCTAGAAATGTGGAGGTCCTGTGGCGAAATGTGGCTGACAGCCCCTTCTATTCATCCCAGAGGTTGCAGTGCCCCTCAGAACGGAAAGGCTTTGGGCCTCGAGCAGGTGCAGGACCTGCCTTGCTTGGCTGAGCTGCCCCACTCACCCCTCTCTAGTCAGTAGGGGCAGTTCCTGCTCTTTGGGTCTTGGACGTGGTGAGAAGGGACGTGGCAGCAGGCCTGGCTTCTTGGTAGCTCTGGCCCTTTAGGCAGATGATTTCAGCTTTTCTAGGATGTGTTCATGCCTTCAACACATCCTGTTTCCTGACCACTGAGCCTCCTCTTACAGTCTGAAATGAGATAATAGTGATAGCCAGCTCTGGGGTTACTAGGTAGCCGCAGGCTGGAGCACATGGAGTGTTGTGCAGGGCTGCTCAGGGAGTGTCTGCTCTTGCCCCAACGTCCTCCTGCCCCACTGCTTCTGTGTACCCGGGCTATAGACTGTGCGCTAGGTACTGCAACACCAGGCCCTGCATCTTTGGATTATTCATCACGAGTACAGTTAGTAGAGTGCTGAAAGACCCTTTATCTGCTTGCTGCTTCCCGCTCTTTCTGTGCTGTGTGTGTTTCACTCGGTGCATGTGTCTTCTACAACCTGTTAAGATTTTCTCACCAGTCCACTGGTCCCCTCCCGGCCTCCCATCCTTTCCTTTCCCTGCAGAAAGGCCTGCCTGCCCTGGCGCGACCAGGCAGGTCTCATTTGCCTGAAGCAGATCACCGTGTAGGTACTGGTGGTCTGTGAGAAGTTCACCCTGTTTGGAGTCCATCTGAACATGGGCTTTTCCCAGCGTTTTGCATTTGGTGAAAACAGGGTACAGTTAAGTAGTTGTTTACTGGTTTCAGTACACTAGTATGAACTGTAGATTTTTTATTACTGTGTTGAGAGAATACTTTGTACCTAACTGCAGAATATAAGTTACTATAGAATGGTATGAATGGTAGTATTTAAATACTAGACCACATTTCTTTTGATATTGTATATTTAATTTGAATGTGTATATTAGTGATTACTGTTTTCTGTCCACTATTTATTAACCTGTGAGTGTCTGATTTAAGGTGGGAATTGGGAAGAGGTGGGTGGACACAAAATGGGTTGTTTTGCCTATAAGAGTGAGTGCCTTGCTCTGAGGGCCGTGTGCAGCTACACGAATGCTGTCTCTTTAGCACCCTTGAGTCGTGTGCTCAGTGGCTTTGTCCAGCAATGGAGATGGCTTGTAAAGCCCTCCGTGGTCATTCAGTGTAGTCTTCTGCTCTTTTGTTCATCATGATGGTCATTAAAATCTACTTCAGGCAGAAAAAATTGAGCATCCCACAGTGTAACTGCACATCCCCATTTACAAGCCCCTGAAGCAAGGCAAGCCTCAAGCGGAGAATTTCTGCCTTTTTCTGTGACTGTCCACTTAAAAAGAAAGTCTTCAGTGTAAGTAGGCACAAATAGATAGTAGTTTGCCTGCAGAGGGGATGAGAAAGTCAGTTCTGTGCACAGAAAGCACCAAGTCGGTGAGACAGCAGCAGCTGCTAGGGTGGAAGGGGATAGGCTTTCATTCATGTAGACAATTACTCAGAATCAGCAAAGCCAGAAAGAGAAATGTGTAAAATATTACAGTTTCATGCTGAATATGGTAACACATCTGTAATCCCAGCTACACGCGAGGCAGGGGCAGCTTACAAATTCAAGACCAGCCTGGGCAATTTGGCAAGATCCTGTCCCAAAATTCAAAAAGCTACAAAACAAATTTTAAAAAGGAATAGTGAATGTAGCACAGTAGTAGGGAACTTGTTCAGTATGTGCAAGGGGGTTCATTTCTCAACACCTAAATATATATGCATATCCATATATATATATAATTTCATATAGTTAAGGTTAAATTAGGTGCTTAGATATGCATTGTGGGGTGAAACTGCATACTATTCAGGGTATGAAAATGAGGGAAGCTCAATATTCTTATTAGAGCCAGCTTTTAACTTAAAAATAAAAGATGTAGTTTGAAAATCCTTTGGAAGGATAAATTTACATTATAGAAATGATGCATATTTTATATAATCTATAATAGAGTGATACTTTATAACATACTGATATCTAACGATGGCCATTATTGAGAGTCTAAAGAATTAAACACTACTAAGTCTTTAGCAACTTCTGGTATGTTCTGAATTTGTCCACTGCAGAAACAGTCAAGTGCGATGTGGGTTACCTGTGACTTGGCACATGATGCTTTTTCTTCTAGGATGCTGCTGTGAGATCAGCCTTCTTCAAAGGTCACTAATGACAAGAAGTAGGATTATGTACCAGCAAACATCAGTCTAAGCAAAGTGGTGATAGTTACAGGTTTTAAAATATACTTGGTGTTTGGTCTTGCTTCTACAATTAGGCTCTTTTTTCCTGCTCACAAATCCCATACACACACACCCATCATTTGAATTGTTATCCTCTGTATAAAGGTAACACTTCTAAGTAAATACACCACAGGTAGAGATGGTTAAGTAAGAGTGCTCAGTGGGCCTGGGAGGATAGCTCATGCCTGAAGCACTATGTGGCGTTTTTCCAAAGGAATTTCAAAATTAAGGTCAGCAGGGTCTATAATAAATGGTATTATGATTATCATGGGTCATTTTATCACAGGTAGATATACTAGCATTTTACTACTTAGAATGATCTGTGTAATTGTTACCAATAGATTTGTCACTGTTCTCTTATTTCCTCTAAGCCTTTGCTTGCTCTTTCCATTTGGGAAAGAGCTCTGTGTTCTTGTGTGATAGTGGAATTACTTGGCAAGTGGCCACCATAGTACTTCCACTTGGGTGGCACATGTAGTGGCTTGGTGAGGACAGAGGCAGCCCAGGTGTGTGGCCATACGAGGGGCAGAGGTGCAGTCCATCTATGCTTAATAAAGCTTCTCATGTCCCTGACTCATTTTAAACCCCCTCTGTCCTTGTTTCTCACCTAGTCCTTGCATAGGTCTGTTGATTTCACACAGAATGAGAGGGACTCATACAGTGGAATCCTGATTTATTTTCAACTGGGATATAATGTTACAAGTTCCATCCAGGCGTTCCCTCTGCCCTGACCATACCAGCCTAGCTGTGGATGCTCTTAGTTAAGAAATTGTCTGTTCCATGCAATTTGTGCCAACAGTGATCACCTATCTTGCTCAAAGACCCAGATTTGGTTGGCACCTCGTAGTAATTCCCAGATATTCTGGACCTTTTTGCATTGCTAGAGAGGAACCTTGGTAGAAGCCCAGGTTCCCATGACCAGCTCAGCCTGTGAGTTACGTGCATAGCCAAAGGAGAGAGAGAAGAGCTTCACAGCCAGGAGTTGTGGCAGGCAAGAGGAGAGACTGCTTCCTCCCCTGCACACCATCTGCTGTCCCAAGATCTTAGGTGCTGGGCATGCGTGGTGTGCACATGAGCTTGTGTGTGTCCATGTGTGTTCCTTTGTGTGTGTGTGTGTCCGTACTTACCAACTTACAGCAATGTATAAGAAGTGTTGAAGTTTTGAAATATAACCTAACTCAGGCCTTTTCTCTGCCCCTTTCAGGTGGACACTCTTTGCCTAGAGGATTTGCATGCATTTATTGCTCAGGCCTTGTGCCTCCAAGGAAAATCAACTGCGCAGCTCATAAGCTTACAGGTACAGATATGACCGACTGTTGTTGCAGCCCTGGATAGCCGTAATGTGATCAAGAGTTGGGGTTTTTTCCATCCTTCCCCCATGAGAGTTGGTATATCACAGAAAGGATCAAGAAGGTGTGTTTGTTTTTTATTTTCTGTATTTTGTACCGGGCCTCATTGCGCAGCTCGGACTTGTAGTGATCCTTCTGTTTTCAGCCTCCCCAGCACTGGGATTACAGTGCTCTCCCACACCTCATCTCTGGGGCCGGCTCAGCACACCTGGGGGCGGAGCCGGTGCGGCATGTGGTACTGGGGATCAAACCCTGTCCCTGTACTTGCCTAAGCAGATGCTTAGACTGCTGAGCTATCTCACTGGCCCAAGGAGGTGTGTTTGGTTGAGGTCTCTTCATGCAGAGGCAGTTTCTCTTCATCTTTGGAGATGCTGTGGGTGGGCACACATCACATGTTGAAAACCACTGCTCAGTTTCCATTCTGAGAAACCTGAGTCACTCTTGGTCTTGCTCTGATGGTTTGATAGTTGGAAGAGCTCATTCACCCCTGCCAGCTTCATGGGCGTCAGGGGAACATGGTGGCTTCTCAGGTGTTAGCAGCTCAGCCTGCACTCACCTGACCCACCTGTTCTGTCTTGCCACCCTTCCTCTGTTCTTGCCTGGTACTTCGCATGCACGCTGAAGTCCTGTAGTCTCATCATTTTGTCCTTCGTGTACAGATGAAGCCCTGGGCAGCAGGGAGCTCTGGATCCACTGTTTAGAGCTGCTGGTGGTGGTTAAGATCAGCCTCAGACTACATGTGCATTTATATATGTATTTAAAATTAAGGTGATTGGATTTAAGTGGGAAGCTCTATGCTGTACGTATATATGCTGGTACAGTATATTTAGTATATACTGTAACTTTAGTGTAGTGTATATATGGATGTGGTTGGCCCTCTGTGTCTTCCATTTCTACATCCACAGATTTGACCAAAAATGGACTGAAAATACTTCTTCTTTCTTTTTTTTTGGTACCAGGGATTAAACTCAGGACCTTGCTTATGCTGCTGAGCTATGCCCCCCCAAAAAAAAAAATTGCTCTGTGCTAAATACAGACCTTTTTCTTATCTACTCCTTACACAATGCCATATAACTATATTGCATATACATTGTATTAAATATTATGAGTCATTCAGAGATGATTTAAAGCACAGAGGAGCACATGTATAGGAGATAGGTGAAGCTGTCGTTTTATGTAGGGGTTTGAGCTTCCATGAGTTTGTGGTGTCCTGGGAGTTTCTGGACCAGTGCATAATGTCCGAGGAGGCAAAGTGCAGTCTTTGTATGCCTGAAGTGTGTGTTTCACGGGTGCTGAGGCTATAAGGGAGAACTGAGCCCGCTCGAGAAGTGACTGCAGCTTCCTTTCCTAGCTGTGGTCACACCATTGCTGAGTGCAAGTCATGTATATCCTAATCTTCCTGTTCTCGGGTACAGTGACAGTGTGGGCTTCCAGCTTGTTTCTGGAGGGCTGCACTTTATATACGGCATGTAATGTGTAGTTGGTATTGCCCATACGAAGATAAACATACACACAGGTATTTGGGATTTAGTTAAAATCTATGCTAAAGAAGTAAATTAATTAAAAGATTGACTTTGTAAGCTAACACAAAGTCTTCCTCTTTAAAAAGCTTTAAGGGCGGGGTAGACTCTCATCTGAATCATTGAAGACACTTGCCTAGCACCGTGCACTCTTGTGCCCTCACTAGCCTGTTATGAGATCTGTGCCCTGTGGACACTGTATTGGTCACTTCCCTTGTCTTGTGCTTGGTGTTATAGGGTAGGGGCCTTGCCCTGAAGCCAGGAAGCCTCATTTAGTATCCTCTCTATGACCAGTGTCTTCTAATGTGGGCATACCACCTACTGTCTAGAATGTAAAATGGGAGAAAAGCTACCCCTTTTCCCTCTTAGTTCATTTTGTGTTCAACAGACCCTGTGGCTGTGTTACGTGTTGTTGAGCCCAGTAGAGTACCTGCTACCTGCCTCATGCAGCTGGGCCTGCAGGCTGCTTTGGTCCAGTGTGCTCTGGGAATCTTAAGTCCGCTAGTGTTCCTTCTGGGACAAGCCCCCAGGAACTCTGCCAGCTTTCTGTTCTCTGTACAAGGGCATCCTCACCCCTCCAGGGGCTTTGTCTGCTCCCTCCTTCCCAAAGGAAGTCTCCTCAAGCTAGAAACCGGGATTCTTTATGCCAAGAGCTTAGTGAGCTGGGTTCTCAGAGCAGATGCTATTACCATCTCATCACCATTCCTGGGAAGTCTTTGGTCATGTTTTGTTGAAACATTAAAAGGAAAAGAATATGAGTTCAAGCCAAGCCACATTACCACTTAACTAGTGCAATTGTTTAAATATAAGATGGCCAAAATTTGCATTTTTGTTATTTTCCATAAGATAAAATACCAGAAAATATAAAAATGACAGTTTTATCAAATTTATTCAGTATAAGAATTGACTGATTAAAATGACACCTCCCCAAGTGACCCTCGTGATAGTACATATCAAACACTGCCCAAGTAATGCTGTGGGTAGACTGTTCATGATTAAACGAGCCCTATTATGAACTCAAATTTGCTCTGTGAGGACATTTCCGACCTTGTTGGGCTGGTGACTGGAACACAGACAGTACTAAGTGAGCTGGAAGAATGTGGGGACTCTGAAAGAGCAGGGCTGTTTGTTCATTATAGAATGTGGCAGGTGACTTTTGTTCCTGCAAATGTACCACAGGGCCTCAGGTTTTTGCTCATTAGAGTCCTGTGTGTCCTGGATCCTGGTTTCTTGGTGCTGTCTCTGCTGGGACAGTTTGTAACCTGCTGAACCTGAGTGAGCTCATATCAAACGAGTTCACGTGGCTTTTTGAAATTCTTTACTTGCTGAGCTCTCTAATTCATAGATTACATCTCCTCCAGATTCTGATGATCTATAAATCTCAATAAACTGTGCGGTACCCACATTTTGACACCTTAGTGTGATGGAAATTTAAGTTGTAAAGATCCCAGGAGTTATTTGGAAGATCACTTAAATGTGTCAGCTTTACTATTCACATCGAAATTTTTCAGCTGCTCTTGGCTCTTGGGTGCTTTAATGGAGGCCCTGGGGCCCACCCAGCTCTTTATGTGGTTGTTCCCCTTTGCCTGGATCCTCTGTTTTTAACTTGATCTTTTCTGCTAACTCTTTACCCTGGTTGAAAAACTCAGATGTTCCCAAACTTAGGGAAAATATCCTCCTGTAGCAGAGTTCCCCTTTGTCTGCTGCCCTTCATAGTCACAGGGGCAAGCTCTACAGCAGAACAGCATCTTGAAAGTACTCTACTCTATTTCCTCATCACTTCCTTCCCGAGAGAGTCTCCACCCAATTGCAGAGTTGCTGCGGGAAAGACCAGAAATGCCTAGCTTGCCCATGCCGTTGAGTCCCCAGTCTCTAGCCACTGTGTCGGACCACTCTTATGAGCCACTGTTATCTCTTGTCTTTTTTAAGGGACCCTTTTGCCGTGGGGGACTTTCTCAAGGTGCACATGCTGCCCTTCCTGGAGCTGGAGCTTCCTAGTGTGTCCTGGGCTGGCTGCAGGCAAGAGCCTGAGCTCCTGCTCGGAGCTCTTCATAGTCCTTTCCTCTCCCAGACTCTGCCCTGCTGAAAGAAAGGACCGTGCTTTATGCTCTTACATGTTTCTAGGACCCAGCCCCCCGTCACCATTAAATGATGCCTGCTGTTGAAGGTGTAGCAGCTGTTGCTGGCTGAAGTGGGCACACTGGCTGGTCTAGACTCGTGGCTGTGTGATTGTGACTGTGCCCTGTGGAACGATTCCCAGGCATGCCCTTGGAAGAGCTGACTTGGGGCTGTCCTAGGAAAGCCAGAAGAGAGCACCTTCCCTCCTTCCCAAAGTTGTCCACTCCAGTGTGGAAATGCTAAGAGTATGCTTACTCTAGTGGTCAGACCCACAGCTGGGGAAGCCCACGGCCCCTCTGCTTCTGGGCACACAGCTGGAGTGGACTTGGGATTCCTTCCATCAGTTCCAGGTTGGGAAGTGGAGCTAGCGCTGTGTTGTTTATAGCATCCTGTGGTGACATGTCTCTGTCCAGTGGCATCTGTACTGCACCCGTGTCCTGTGGGGCCCCTGCTGACTGCTGCTTTTAGTGTTCTCATCTTTGTGTATGAGAGAAACTTTTCATACTTTGAGGCCTTTTGGATCCCTGAGACCCAAATGTTGTAAGGTGAAGCTGTGTGGACCATAAACTCATAGGTCACCCCGTGGGACAGATCCTTCCTCCAGAGAAATTCAAGTCAAAGAGTTGTTGGCAGAGAGTATTAGAGCAGAGCTGTGTGAGGAGAGAACAAGGGACATGGATCAGGTACAGGCTCCTCCTCCACCTAGAGCCATAGAAGGAAAAACTTATGTTTTAAGCCTTTCAGAATTGTGCAGGCTGGCCAGATACCTCAGTGCATTAAAGTGCCTATGTAGGAAGACGCAGCCTGCCCTGCCCTGCTGGCCCTACCCCCAGGTGTGCTGAGACAGCAGTTGAGACTGGGCATGGTGGTGCGTGCCTATACTCCCAGCGCTTGGGAGGCTGAAAACAGGAAGGATCACTACAAGTTTGACCTGTGTAGTGAGGCCCTATAGACCCTGTACTGAATACATTGAAAAAAAATTGCAGAAGTGCAGCCTTTGTACGCTGAAGTGGGTGATATGTGACCAAATTGGCTTCATGGGGAATGGACTGTGTGCCTGGCAGTGAGGTGGGGCTGTTGGGGAGGAGTCCAGCTGGGGATGCAGATCAGTGGAGTGGAGCCACTTCACAACAGGCCGAGTCCAGACGTAGAAGTAGTCACGGAATTGCACTGCTGAGCATTTGGTTCTGCTGCCTGAAGACTGGCAGGAGGCAGAGGTGGCCTCTGTAGAGACGCCTGTGAGTCTGGGGTCAGGAGGAGTCTTCCTCATTGTCTGTCCCTCTTGCTGCTGAGGAGTTCCGTATGTATGA